CTTCCTCTCCTTACGGCACCGACATTCGATGCGGAAGGCAACGTCAAGAAGGTACGCGTGTGTTTAGATATGCGTGTCGTTAACGCGCTTATTTCTGGTGACCAGTTCCTGATCCCCAAGGTCAACGAGCTCATATCTCGCCTCAAGAGTAAGAAGTACTACACGACGCTGGACATATAGGCTGCCCATCCATCCAGACTCACAATACTTATTTAGTTTTACACACGAACGTTATCAGTACTCGTTCACATTAGCACCGTTCGGTCTTCATGTACTCACGCAGCAGTTACAACGTACCTTGAGTACGATACTTGATGGCTTACCGGTTCACCACTATATCGATGACATAGTTATCGCTAGTGACGATTATGACGAACACGTTAGGACGGTGCAGAAGGTGATACAACGCTTATCATACCACAGTTTTAAGCTTAACCCTGCCAAGTGCCACTTCGCTATTTCCGAAGTCATGATCCTAGGGAAGAAATTATCGGCACAAGGCATTGACATTGACCATGAAAACAGGCCAAACTGATCGACTGGCCCACACCACTACGGTACAAAGATATAGCCTCGGCGTTGGGTTTAGCAAATTACCTCCACGAACATCTGCCTAATTTCGCGAACACTGTCGCACCCTTGCGCGAATTTTGCAAACTCAAACCAAAGGAGTTGATAGGTGATCGTTGGGAGGAGAGACATGCACAGGCGTGGCAGGCAATGAAGGACGCAGTGGTGAATGCTGTGGCGCTACACTTTCCGGTCGACGGCATTCCTTTGAACTTGGAAACCGACGCTAGCTTACGGTTTGGGGGGAGCGCTATTCCAATGGGTCGACGGTAAGAAGCATTACTTAATGTTCTTTAGTAAGACTCTGAACCATGCGCAACATAACTACGCCACACCTATGAAGGAGTTACTGACATTGGTATATGGACTGACACATTTCAGGGAATACTTGGATGGGCAACGGTTTGCGGTCTTCACGGACCACAAGGCCCTTGTGTATATGAACACACAGCTCAAGCTTAATCCGATGCTTCAGAGAT